ATATATATATTAAATACTTTTGTCCACCTGCTCCTGATGGCTCATCAGATACAAATGGGTGACAGTAAGTCACTAGACAGTTGTTTCATGGTGAAACACAGCAAAACTCAGGGTAAGAATGCCCCAAAGCACAACCTGAAACAAAACACTTTCCTGGCATGTTCAAGGTGGGTTTCCACTACTCACGTGCGTTTTTGTTTTTTTAATTCACCATGGAAAACCTTCCCTATCCTAAAAACAGAAATCCTGGCATTAAGCAGGACATTTCCTCTGCTCATGAATCCATCATAGCTAATTACTGCTTTCCCATTTCCTACTCTCTCTGCCTGGAATATCCTCCCCCACCCCTCCCATCTCTCAAGATTCAGCTTAAGTGGGCCCCTTCTCTGACACTGTTCCTTTTTAACACCACTCCATGCTGAGTTAGTGTCCTCTTTCTGTGCCCACCCCCAGCCCTGCCCAGACCCAATGCTTCCTCTCTCATTAAACTCATCACACCCAATTGTAGCAGTAGGATTACCTGTCTTTCCCACCATAGAAAGCACACTCCATAGGGGCAAAGAGCATTTTTCTTTTTTTAAAGATTTTATTTATTTATTTGACAGAGAGAGACACAGCGAGACAGGGAACACAAACAGGGGGAGTGGGAGAGGAAGAAGCAGGCTTCCCGCCGAGCAGGGAGCCCGATGTGGGGGCTCGATCCCAGGACCCCGGGATCACGACCTGAGCTGAAGGCAGGACACTTAACGACTGAGCCACCCAGGTGCCCCAAAAGAGCATTTTTCATTTCAGCATTCTCTTTCACTGGAATACTGCCAGGAACAGAGTAGGTTTTAATAAATGTCAGTAAAATGAATGAAATTTGAATTCTGCCTGCCTTTCAACCTCCCCCTCAATCTGGCCTCTGGGAACAGATCCTCAATATGACCAACTTTCTCCTCTTCAAGCTGCCTCCTACCCTACTCATAAATGTCAATGCCTCCAACTCAAACACTATCAAGAACACCCCTGTATGGCTCAGTTGGTTAAGCGACTGCCTTCATCTAGGTCATGATCCTGGGGTCCTGGGGTCGAGCCCTGCATTGGGCTCCCTGCTTGGCCGGAAGCCTGCTTCTCCCTCTCCCACTCCCCACTGCTTGTGTTCCCTCTCACGCTGTCTCTCTCTCTCTCTGTCAATTAAATAAATAAATAAAATCTTAAAAAAAAAAAAAAGAACACCCTGTAGTTGAACTTGGGGTTTATTGCTCAATGCAACAGCGAATGCAGATGGTGGAACATCTCTGTAAGAAGTTGTTAAGAAGGACTTGTAGATTTGATTTGTGTTGGATGATTCGGATAAGGGTTCAGGCAAGTAGGGCATTGCTCTGGATTGGAGGTTGTCAGGAAATGGGAGTGATTCTATGATTGGGTATCAGTAAATCTTATCCACAAGGTGGGAGGAATGAAGCAAAAGCAAAGCTAAAGCTGTGATTGGCAAAGAAGCTGCTTCCATATTAGCCAAATTAATAGGGCAATGTTTGGGTTTTTTTGTGGTTTGGACAATGTTCTTTTTTTTTTTTTTTTTAAAGATTTTATTTACTTATTTCACAGAGAGAGACACAGCGAGAGAGGGAACACAAGCAGGGGGAGTGGGAGAGGGAGAAGCAGGCTTCCCGCCGAGCAGGGAGCCCGATGCGGGGCTCGATCCCAGGACCCTGGGATCATGACCTGAGCCGAAGGGAGACGCTTAACGACTGAGCCACCCACATGCCCCTGGACAATGTTCTTACTTCTGCCTGTATTCAGACATGAGTGATCATGTTTTTGTCTTGATTGATCATGGTCACAGAGTGGCCTTGTCTGATGTTGTTTTGTGCAATTGTTTATTTCACTAGAACCCCACGGTCTAACTGAAATCCCAGGCCAGCCCCCAAATGCCAGGGGCTGCCTCTGTCTTTCTCATAACTCATACCCATTCTTTTTTTTTTTTTTTTTTAACTCATACCCATTCTTAACTTTCACCAAGCTCTTCCCCAGGATGCTCTTCTCCCTCCTCCAGCCAAACCCTACTTAGATTCAAATTGACCTCCACAAAATCCCATCTTCCCCTCCAGGCTTTCCTAAATACTTCTTTCTCCATTGGATTATCTTTTCTGAATGCATCTAAAAGTCTTGGCCAGCACACCACAATTTAGTATTCAACTGCCTTCTCTCTGGAATGGTTTGACTTGTTTCGCATGTATTTTTCTTCTCTGCTTGGCAGGTTGTAAACGTTTCTAGGGGCAGGGTCATTTCTTACATTTTGGCATCCCCCTAGAACTGAGAACCTTGCTGAGGTAAAACGAATGGCTGGTCTGAGGAAAGGGGGTGAGTCTGCTTCTGTGACACAGCTCGGAAAACACAGCTACAAGCCAGCAGGGGAGAAGCCAACGGCTTGCCTTTCACCTTTCTAACACTCTGACCTTATCTTTCCATCTTCCCATCAGGAAACCATGTTTTGAATTTTTCTTTTGGAGCATTCATTTCTTCTCAAGGGTTATTTTTGTAAATGTCTTCTGTCCCTACCTTTCCATGAGTGTAGGACCTACAGTTAATGTATTGTTGTCTCCTCTCATGCTTCCATATCGCCCGGGACAAAGTTTAGCAGATAGAAGGAAAGGCCCAGCAGTCCTCCATTAACCGCAGCTCCTGTCTGGCTCGTCGCGGAAAGTAGGATACACCCCAACTGTCTCCTCCGGGGCCGAGCAGAGAGTCACCTATGAGAGTCAATGCCTTGGCCTCTGGCTTAAGTCAGGGCACAAGACCTCTTAGCCCAGTTGGCCTGCATGTCCTCCAGCTCATCAATTTTTTTTTTTT